TATTGTGTCAAACTGTTATGCGCTATTATGCTTTTGAATTAAGAGTTTATAAGCCTACAGACGATAAAAATATGTGACCTTTATGTGCTCTGGGGATCCTAATCTCCAACTTCTCAGTCTAAAAATGCCTTTACAAATTGCTATGACCCCTTAGCTAAAAATATAAGTAAAATGATGAATCAAGGATTTGATTCTAACTAAAATCAGTGGGGAATGTGAGACCTGACTGAGAGCTAAAGTGATTCCATGTTGGCTGAATAATGGCCCAGAAACTGTTGTTTCACCCTCCCCTTATCTTCAACAGGGAAAACTGCTTAAACCCGAAATGCTTTTAAGATCTTAGAACATCCTGTAGGCATCTGTTAACCATCAATGTGTGGCTGCTGAATATGTGACAGCTGCCCAGCAGTGCGAATCAGCAGACCATTAACCTTTGCCACCTGACTGCAAGCTTTGAATGTTAACTCCCCCTGTATCCCCTTATAAGAAGACCTCAGCCCCTGAGCTGGCACCTCTCTGAGCTACTCGGCTCTGGGAGTGCCGTCTGGCCACACTAATAAAGGTCTGTTTCATTTCCAACTTGTCCAGTGTGCTCCTTCTCAGGTGATTCTCACGGCTGTTGGTAAGGCTCTTGGTCTTACATGTGAATATTAAATTTGTATTAGAGGCCACTGTGGAATTAAGTTTAGAAAGCACTCTATGGATATTAAATTAGTATTAGACATTACTATGTGGCTGCTGTATCCATATCAAGAGGATACTGGTTAAATATTAGTATTAGCGATCCACTGTTCAGATAGCATAGGCTCCTGTATTGGTTTGACATTAGCATCAGAGGCCAGTGTATGGATATTACTTTACTACTACAGGCCACGGTGTGGACATTATCTCAGGGGACTCACGTCTTGGGTGTCCTGTGGAAAGTGGTCATGTGAATGACACCTGCATGAAGCCCTTCCTCTGCTGAGTTCTCTGGAGGTCCCTTACCCTTCAACCCAGAACACAGGGTGCCTACAGGAAGCTTTGCACTCATGGTTGCATTCATAGGAAGCTACTGGCAGTCATCCTGAGGATGTGACTTACAGCTCTCGCCTCCATGGACTCAGGTCTCTGGCATCCTCCAAGTCTGCATCAGGTCAGTAAAGGTAGGAGTGCTTGCCTTTTGGTGGCTGCAGAGACTCAGCATTGAGCTCACATTTCAGTGGGACACAGGCATCCCCTATAATTTTGGAAATTCTAATTGAAACTCGCTGCCCATATTTTTATCTAAAAACTGTGATGAAACAAATATGTGGGAACATATTGACTTAAACGAATGCAGATACAAACTTTAAAACTTAAGACAAAGATTCACTCAAAATACATCCTAGAATAAAAGTTGAGACAAAACTAAAAATGTGGCTGGGTATGGTGGGGCATGCCTGTAATCCCAGCACTCAGGAAGCTGAGGCAGGAGGATCAATGTGAGTTTGAGCCCAACCTGAACTGTATAGCAAGACCCTGTCTCAAAAAAAAAAAAACCTATAAAAGTTCAAGAGAAAAATCTATTGATCGTGTGAACTTTATAAAACTAAACTTTCTACTCTGTATAGAACTCTGATTAGAAAACAGACAGGGCACATGCTAGAATCGTTTCTCTATAAACACATACCTCAGAACAAATTTGTATTCAAAATATCAATGACTAACAATCCAATGAAAGATGAATAAAGAATAATCACCTGACCAAAAAAAACAAAGATGGCCAATACAAAAGGATGTTCAACAACATACATGATTTAGAGTATTAAAAACTGGAACAATAATGAGATAGCATGTCATAATGATTAGAGCTGTTAAACTACAAAAATAAAAATCACAATACAAGATAGGACTAATGCTAGAGGATGAAGGAACTCTTACTCATTGCTGGTAGGGTACATCAGGAGTCTCTTGTGTAGTTACGTTCAAAGTGAAATGAGTCTAGCTGTATGATCTAAAAAGAGAAATGCTTTGAAAACTCACATCCAAATGAAAAACCAACCAAACCACCACACAATTAAATCAGCATGTATTCATGATCAGCAGCTCTATCTATCCTGGTCAAAACCTGAACTAATTTGAATGTTTTCCCACAGGTAAATGCAGAATTGAACTGTTACATCAATGCAATAAAGTATTTTCAGCAATAAGAATGAACTGCCAACCCATGTTATAATAACATAAATGAATCTTACCTGTCTTCCTAAGTGTGATAAGTCTGTATCAGCATGATACACACTTTAGGGCCCCTTGGACATGATGTGCTAGGCAGACAAAACTACAAAGATGAGAAACACGACAGTTGGTTGCATGGGTTGAGGTTGGAAATGTCTGTGTGACATTTTAGGCCTATGGAAATCACATTAAATCACTGAGAATTAGAAAATATCCAAGGATGGAAGGCAGGATGTAAGAAGGGACCTAACTACAGACTAAACTTCATGTCCTACAAACATGTACTAATAAAAATATGCTGCACGTGCATTTGAAATAATTATAAATTATATTTTAATACTCTGTTCCTACCTAAAAGTAATTTATGATACCGTGACTCAATTTAAAATGAATTTTAATTTGACATTAGGGTACAGTAATTGTGCTGAATATTATTTAAATTTAGACAAATGGAAAATTACATGTATTCAGCCATTAAAGTATCATACAGAATAGTTTCTCTACCCTGAAAAATACTGGGCATCAGGGTTATAAAAGTCTGTATGTTCCTGGTTTTCAGTATTTTTTTTTCCATTGATGTCAGAATTAGAAGTATTTTCTAGATTTGCTTCTTTGTGGGAAGAGAGAAATTTCCCAAGATCCACGTCCTCATAACATAAATAATGGAAAAACCCATGACTGTAGTTGTAGAACTGGATCATCACAACTTATCAGACCATGGAATTAGCATATTTGAAACAACTGAGCAGTAGGAAAGGGGGCAAATATGCAAATGACATTCTGAATTGATGTTTCAACATAATTATTCATAACATAGTCATTTCAGCATAGTTACTGATTCCCAAACACCAGGGAGCACCTGCTGCTCTGAGTCTATGAACATGTGACTATTACACAGGAGCGTGGACATAGAGGGACTGTTCTGTGACCACACAGAGACACCAGGTGGGTGAGAACAGGGCTCCCTCCTTCAGTCTTTAGAGGACATAATGACAAAGTATTCTTAAATTATGGGGGCTTCTGTATCATTTCATCAAACTCCAAAAACTGGATCTTCTGGCACACTCCGTTAGCATCATTTCCAAAAGTATCCTTAAAAATGGCACATTAGGGCTGGGGATTTAACTCAATGGCACTGCGGCTACCTCACAAGCACGAGGTCCTGAGTTCGGAAAAAGCACTAGAATGCCCAGTCCAAAACACCACACACATGAACACAAAATCTATGCACTGATCTGACAACACTGCAGACCGTTACTCAGACAAAATGTTTCCTATGATCTTTATCCTGCAGCTTTCTCAGTATGCTTTGATAACAGAGCCTCCCTTCGGAGGAGCACTTGTGCACAAGGATGGAGATGTGACTGGCAGTGTTACCTCTTTATTTTTGTTTGCCTTTCACTTGTATCTTTCAACTAACACCCAGCAAAAACGTCTTTTCCCTGCAGTAAGTCGCTTATTCGTTTTTTCTGATAATTAGGATAATGCCTAGGGAACTGTGGATGAACAAACCACTACTCTATTCTTATTCTATCTTTCCCGCACCACACCGCCTCAAAACTCCCCATAATCCATTTTGATTTTTTCTGTTCTCATTTTTGTTCTGAACATGAAAATCAACTTATCACATCTTCAGCTCCCTCTTTTCAAGGCCAGAAGCAGGGAGAACTCTACTTTCCATCAAATACTACCACCCACTCCCTTCCTCCCACCCGAGCTACCACACGGCTTTAGGGAATGTTCCTCAGGAACACACTTCAAGTCACTGGGCTGAGATTAATCCTTAGAAGCTGCAGCACATGATCACTTTTACAAATTCCAGGGGCTGTGAATGTGTATTTGATTATGCGTTAACTTCCTTAGATCGCTACACGGTGGTTGCTGCTACATATACCCTTTCTTCTTGCACAGAGTTCTCAGTTAATATTCAGTCACTTTAATTTGTATGTATTTCATGCCACAATTGCTCTATGCTTCTGTATCTGTGAGGCCAGGAATCCATGACCGTGTGTACATTTTCTGTTCTTAGATATGATCACATCAGTTTTCTTGATTCAAGGAGATGGCTTGTGCTCTTTTAAGAAAATGGGATGCTACTAAAATAATGATGGCTTGTGTGTTTTCAATCAGATACAGTGGTACCTTGGTTTCTGAACTTAATTCTTTCTACAATTCTGGTCAAAAACCAACTTGGATGAGAACCGAATCAAACTTCCCAATAAGGTTAACCCTGAACCTAAACAGTGAATTTGATTCGGTTCTCATCCAATTCAGTTTACAACCAGAATTGTGGAATAAAATTTGTGAACCAAAGTATCACTGTACTTGCACCCCAAGTGTTGCCTGTGGTATTTGCCTACGCTTCAAAGCTGGGTTATGAATTGGGGCTTCATGCTGGGTGTGATAGCACATTTCTATAGTACTTGCACTCAGGAGGCTGAGGCAGGAAGATTGCCATAAGTTTGAGACCAGCCTGGGACACTGTGGATTAAAGAACAGCCTGAACTACATAGCAAGACCCTGTCTCAATAAATAAATAAACATAAATACATACATACATTTTAAAAAAGGAATTAGGGGTTCTTTCATGCTGTAGAAGTACCTGTCCTATGTTTTATTATATCCAGGTTTTACTTACACTTTTTATTCTTGGGCAGTCCTTAATTTACGTTTTTGAGACAAGGTCTCAGGTTGCCCAGGCAGGCAGTAAAGTCCTAGGCTTAAGATAGGGATTTGCCATGTAAAGGTACATGACACACTGACATTTACCCTTGTACTGAGCAAGATCCCCAGCCCTTTCTTACTTTCAGACTGGGAGTTGCTAGATTCTCCGGCTGGGCTTGAACTGCTTCAGCCTCCCACAGTGCTGGAATCACAGGTGTATACCACCAGGACCAGCTGCTAATGGCTGGTTCTGAGGACTTAACATTAGTCCTCAGTAGTGTAGAAAGGCTAGAAAAGGAGACACAAATTGTGCCATTTTACATTTTTCCTGTTAATGATGCTGACACACATTGTAAGTTTCACAGAATAACTGGACACAGCTTCCAAGTTCTTGAACATGTGATCTGGTGGAGATGGCAGCCCATGCCTCAGACAGAGCCCCGTAGCTTCCTCCCCAGAGGTGTCCGGAACTCAGCACAGCCATCACACTCAGTCAGGCCCCAACACTTCTACTCTCTTGGTGTCTGAGAAGCCACAACTGATTGGGCAGCTGAAGAGAAATCAGGCGGCAAAAAGCCCTCAGGCGCCCTCAGGAGCCCACAGGGCAACAGTTCACCAGAGTCTGTCAGGGTGAGGTGGATGCTGTGTGGCCTGGAGCTGGCCCTGCCTCAGGTGGTCCTGTCCAGAGGGTGGGCACAGATATAGGTCCGCTTCTCCAGGATGCGCTGTGACACTTTCTTAACCAGCTCATCCAGGTTTCCGGGATCATCTGAGAAGGCAGAGGAACAGGGCTCTTCCTGTGCCACTGTGAGGACACCAGTGGTGCTTTTTACACAGTCAGCCCCACCGCAAGGGCCCTGAGGAGTGATTCTGGGCGGCCAGTCATGACAGAGATGGGAAAGGTCCAAGGCTCCGTCCTAAGTAACATGACTCACCCTCCTCTCCTCCTTTCCTCTGAAGCCTGGGTCTCATGGATGGGGTTGGGGAAAGGCCCCACTCAGCAAACAGTCCATGGGAGGGAAGCCATGTGCTTACCCCCACAGTGGGTCACAGTCCCACCCACCATGCCAGTGCCTGAACCACCCCTGGGGCTACAGAAATCACAGACAAGGCCCACAGTAGCCCTCCGCACTCTGGCAGCAGGGCTTGCCCAGCAGGGGACACTGCACCCATAGGGCTCTAAGGGTCATATGATGTGCAGCTGTGGGGAGTCCAAGCCTTCTGGACAAACTAAGATGGGAAAAAAGGCCCCATATTCTCCAGAGGAAGCCTGTGCCCTCCGTAGGAAATCTGAGCTCATTCTGGCTAGCACAGGGTGCTAGAGAGGCAAGTACAGTGCTGTCCTCTCTTCAGTGACCTCCCCTGGGCAGGTATAAGGCCAAAGCCAGCCACTGGGCAGACACCTGCGGGGCCATCGAGGGCCACATGGAGGCCTCCTGGCCCAGACCACCACTCCAGCAGACGGCCTAGAAACAGCTCCCCCTGCACAGATTCAGCCCCCTTCCCTCCAGCCAGCCACTCTGCTTACACTTATCCAGCTGTGCCAGGATGAAGAGATTCTGGAAATAAGCTTCCATGCAGAATGTGCTGGCCAACAGAACCTGCCAGAACCGGGGTGGGAAAAGACGGCTGCTGAGTGCCTGGAGCTAACCTCTGACCTCCAAGGGCCCAGCTGTCACCACGCTGCAGTCAGGCCAGGCCCAGAAGTCACACAGCCTTGGTGCCAAGTGCAGCCTGGACCCACACTGTCCTGTTCCCAAGAGCAAGCTACTCGGGGCCTCTGAAGTCTGTTTACCCCACCATAATGTGGACATCACAGTAAGTGTCCACACGCAAGGGTGGGACAGGGTATGTGAAGAGCTGACCCCCGGGAGATGCTCCCAGGATGAGATCCTATCCAGGGGAACATGGTCCCTCCACAGCTACCACACAGGAAGCCATGCAGCCCCCTGAGCACCCTGAGACCCCTGTCTCAGTGACTACTAGGCACAGCAGCCCCCAACTCACCCAGCGCCCTCCTCCCCAGTCTCCCACTCCCAGCCACTGGCCTCATTAATGTACAATGGGGCACAGACTGGCTCTGTCCCCTCCCGGAGCAAGACTTGAGCAGGTCACTCAGCATCTCCAAGCCTGTTTCCAGGTGCTCACCTCGTGGTCATGGTCCCGGAGTCCAATGCGGATGGAGCGGCTGGCCCGAGACAGCACAGCCGTCATGCCATACAGGTTGATGAGGACATTAGCCACCCGCTTCATCACCAGCTGCTCCTCCACGATGGTCTGGGGACACAAAGAGACATGAACTCCTGCTCCTGCCCCAAGGCCCCTCCCAGGCCACAGCTCTGCAGTCTCAGCCTCCTTGTGTCCCGCTGGCTGTGGGAGGGAGCTCCTGGCTGCCCTGGGTTCCCCTTGTCTTTGGACTATCTGTCCTCAGGTAGGTGTCAAGGCAGAACGAGGGCCCAGCAATATGGCCAACACCAGAGACAGATGCTAGTGTGTTCAACGTCACAGGTCAGTCCCTGGCATTGGGCCCAGGTGACCAAGGTCTTGCTCTAAGCCCATCGCGTGGCTGCACATGTGAGGGTTGGCTATGCCTCGGCCTGGCAAACCTACTTACCTTCCCGAAGCGCAGCAGCAGTGTCTCCACAGTCCTGCCAAAGTAAAACACGTTCTCCTCCAGCTTGGTGACACTGTCCTGGTTGGCAGGAGACAGGACTAAGCTTGGCACCCCCCGCAAAACCTTTCTGTCCCACCCAAACACTGCAGCCTGGAGCTCAGGGCCCAGATGGCTTGGGATTATCAGGGTGCCCCTCAGGCTCCCCTGTTGGGGCCCAGACCCTTGATCAGATCCCAGGACAGGGAGTTCTTGTGGGAGGGGGTGACTTTGCTACGCCTACTCACACCAAGACTGGGGTGCACAACTCCAGGGTCGTCCGTCAGCCCCAGGTCCACAGTTCGGCCCACAGTGTCCCACAGCCTCCGGGCCATAGTCTCCATGGCTATAGCCACTCTGCTCTCTTTAAGCTCCCTGCAGAAATCCCCCCATCCTGTGAGTCAAGGGCTCCTGAGCTCTGTGCTCCACCCTCAGGTGGGCACACTGGGCTCTAGAGGACTCTCCCAACCTGTTAGAGAACAGCCAGCTCCCACTCAAGGAGCCAAAAAAATGCTACCAGCAGCTTGTGCTTGGGCTCTGGCAGGAAGCTGATGGCACTGCCCTGGTACGAAGGGTAAGAAAGGAGGATGAGCAGGGAAGCGGCTGGTCTCAGGGTGGCTTCGGGTGAGCACGCATGTGCAGACCACACAGTGTAAGAGGCAGGGGCTACCGGGGGAGGGGAAGATGGAGTCCAGTAGAGATGGGAGCCATGTGACCCTAAGGACAGGCCAGAGAGGGACAACCTCGAGTCTGACTTCCCACAACCCGCAGGCCCCACCCCATGCAGCCAGGCTTCCAGGGAGCCCAGCAAGACCACATCTGTCTGGCCCACCACTCTGTCCCATCCCAGGGCAGGCAGACCTTTCCTCTCAGCTCTCCTAGCATGAAGCCTGAAGAGTAGGAATGGCACCTACTTGATCCTCGGGGTCAGGATGCTCCCGGCATGCTGCAGGCCCGTGAGAGCGATGAACATCCGTAGGATTTCATTGGTTCCCTGTGGCCAGCAGTACAGAGGTCAAAGGCTACCCCTCTGTACAACCCCAGCAGTGCCAGATGACAGCAAAGGCCATGGCCTGCTCATGGACGGAGCCATACTTCAGAAGCACTCGAGTCAGGGCTGTGACCAGGGGAATACACACAGGTAGGGAGGTGACCTAGCCTCCCACCCGGACCTGCCACCACTCATGGCTAGCTTTGCATGGGGCACTCCTTTTTCTTAGCTCAACTCCTCCTCAAAACGGACAGGCTTCACAAAGACCCCAGCAGGACGCCAGGAGTGGGAGGCACACCAGAAATGGTCCTCTAGAGAGCAGCCTGACCCAGCTGCCTGGCATCTCCAGAAGGCAAGATCTCCCTGTGCAGAGCAGGGTATGATGGTTAAGGGGACCCAGCGAGAAGGCAGCCCACCTGGAGACAGCCCTGCACAGCACTCCCAGACCGAGGCAAGGAGGGAAGGTGGGGCATCAGCTCAGGGAACAGAGGCACATGGATGGCTGCAGGTCACTCACCTCCAAGAAGAGCAGCGCACGGGCATCACGAAGCATGCGCTCGTGGGGGTGGTCCTTTATGTAGCCCAAACCCCCCAAGATCTGCAGTGCCTCACTCACGCACTGCCAGGCACCCTCAGAGCTGAACACCTACCAAGAACAGGCAAAGTCAGTACGAGGGGTTCACCACACAGTCCCTTCCATGATCTGCTTGCATCCCCTCTAGCAGCAGCTCTGGTAGCACCAGGATTACCTTCACCATGGCTGTCTCAATGGAGCAGTCCGGACACTCCGGGTGGTCCAGCATCCCTGCAGTGAGGTAGGACATGCTCTCTATTGCGTATGCCTTCTGAGCCATCAGTGCAAACTTCTCCTGCAGCATTCAGGGAAAACAGAAGCAAGAAGCAATGTGCCTGTGCTAAGACCTAGGTCTGCCATCCAGGAGAGAAGCAACTGAGCCCAGGAAAATCAAACCCAGCCTTCATGAAAGGATTTCCTGTCCACTGGGGCCTCACTGAGTCTTCTTCCAAACCACTGCATGGAAGACCAGGACAGAGACAGTCACCATGCACGTTTCCCAACCACACAAGGAAAACCCAGCCTCAGTACCTGAATTAACCCAAATTCACTGAGCTTCCTAGTGAACTGCTTCCTCTCACAGGCATACTCAGCAGTCAGTTCTGAAGAAGAGCAGAGTTGTTACAAAGAACAGAAAACTTCCTGCCTATCCAAAAGTGATTTCCTAACTCCAACACTACCACCCTTCAAACACCCGACCACCACGTGCTGACACCGAATGCCTCAAAAGCTCGAGCCACCACTTTAGCACCCATGGATACAGCACGGCATGTGCTCACTGGAGACCTGCAGGCAGTGGCGGGAAGGACTGTACACCCAGATCTGAACCTCACCCAGTTCTTATCAGTATAGGCCCAAGCTAAGAGCTCCACTCCCTGACAATAATGCCCACCTCACCAGGGTCACTGCAAAGATACCATTAAACAGAGAGCACAAGGCACCTCATATGAAGCCAGGCAGAGGGTCGCAGCCAGGCACACAGACAATCCCATCACAAGTGCTCAGGGCTACAGCAGGAGGGGGCAGCCCTGCTGCAACTCAGGCTTGGGCCTTGGCATATGGCTGTGCATGGGGATGAGTTCTCAACACCACACGACACAGCAGTCGCCTCCCAGGCACCAACACCCCCATCCCCACTGGAACTCCGTCTCCAAATGCTTCTACACTTGTGACCCAGTCCCATGTCCCTAGGACGGGTCCAGCATCTGCCTGTTTCTGGTTGTGGGATCTCCTCAGGGGTTCTGCCTCCTGCTGGGGACAGGCTGGCCTGTGCACCCAGGAAGCTTGTACACTCAGTAGTGAGCAAACAGGCACCCTAAGCTGGGGCTTGAAGTGGCCACAGAATGAGACCCCGGCACCCAGCCTCCTCCTCCCTTCTTTGTGCCCACTGAAGGGAAAGACAGAGCCACCTGGCCGCAAGAGCATGCCGGAAGATGGGACAACACTGCAATGGGCCCGACTTACCTACCAATCAGTCTCCTGAGCATCCCGGCCACAACACTGCCTAGGCTGAACCGCCCACTGTTGAGGACGTCCACGGCTACCTGCAGGATGGCAGGAAAACCCAGGGATACTAATGGAGCCAGAGAGGATGCACCCTACCACATTTGTATTTTCCCAAAAAAAGTTTTCTGAATACTAAGGAAGAGGGCCCCTGGGATTTAACTCAGTGGTGCTGCTGCCTGCCTCAAAAGCACAAGGTACTGAGTTCGACCCCTGGTACAAGGAAGAAAGGAAGGAGGGAAGGAGGGAGGGAAGGAGGGAGGGAGGGAGGGAAGGAAGACAGACAGAAAGAAAGAAAACTAAAGAAGAGTTTAGAGAACCCCGACAGGAGAAAGCTTAACCCTCCACAAGCAGGTGGTACATCCTGCTGCGGCTCCAGCCACCACACAGGCCACTGACACCATCCCAAAGACACTAGCTATCCCCAGGGAAGGGAGCAGAAACGTGGACTGACCAATACACACTGCCAGCCGAGCAGACTGTGTAGAGGCTCCTGGCAGGGCCTTGGGCTCTGAAACCAGACTCAGGAAGAACCCCAGGCTCAGTGGGGATGAAACTCCCCAAGGCCCCACCACCAGCATCTGCCCAACACCTGAGTCAGGTGCAGCAACTGTTCTTTCCCTACCTTTCTTCTGACCTAATGCAGATGCCCAAGGATGTACACCCAACAAGGGTGTCAGGGGTCCTGGAGGCTGCCCTGTCCCACCACAGAGGGCACAGGTGCAAAACGCCAGTGACTTGCAGGTTGCCAGTGTGTTAACAGTCCCACAGCTCGGGGGCGGGGCGACTCCGCGTGAAGAGGAGAATCAGGCAGCCAAGACTCCCCAGAGAACACACAGAGCCAGACCTCAGGCAGGTATGAGGAGTTCCCCAGACAGGGCACTTCTGAATGCTGGGTCTGGCACCTTCAAGCCCCACAGGCAGGGCTGGGCCAGGACAGGAAGGCAGCCAGAAGACTTGACTTCAACTGCACTTCTGCTTTTCCCAGAAGGCCTAGCTGGATGTGATGTGGATTAATAAAGCATGCCACAGAACTGGAATCCATGCTTACTGTGCAATAACCAGAAGGGGGAATCTTTCAGGCAGACTGGGGGAAACCCAGCAAGTCCTCAGGGTTGGTTGCATCACGCCCGTGTGAGATGCAATCCCACACCAGAACCAGGACCCCAAGGGCACCCTCCCTGGAGTGCATACTCCCCATTCCTTAGCACACAGATGGTACTGGCTCTTCCATGTGCTGGGGAACTGGATACTGCCTGGATTCCCACTCCCTCTTTCAAAAGCTAGCTCAGACCCTTCAGAGTACTGTTAATCCCACTCAAAAGAAAAAAAAAAAGCAGGAAAAACAGATGACTCTGGGCCTCAGTCCTTGGCACAGCCCTATCTGAAGGACCCTAGACCTGTGCTCAGTCTTTCTCTGACCTCAGCAGCCCTCACCAGCCTTTTAAACATTGCAGTCATTAACACATTCATTAGACAGTGGTGGGCTCACCGACCTTCCACACGGGGGCATACTGTGCTTATACCCACCCACTCTTCCAGCCTCTCCACTTCCTGTTCCCCAGCTGCCTTCCCAGGCCCTATCCACACCTCTTTCTCAGGTGTTTGTGGTCTTTTGTTTTTTTTTAGCTTCTACATATGAGAAAAAAACTGATATTGTCTTTCGGTCTAGCTGATTCCACTTAACACAATGCCTGCTAGTTCCAATCACTTTCCTGCAAACGATAGCTCTCTTTTTTATGACAAAATACTCCTCCACTGGGTATACAGACACTACTGCTTTACTCATCTAATGGACACTGAAAAGGGTTCCATTTCTTGACTATTGCTAACAGTGCTGCAAGAAATACAGGTATGCAGGCAGCTTTTCAGTATGCTGGCTTCTTCTCTGTATAGATTTCGAGATTCAATCAAGTGTATTGTTCTTTTTAGTACTTAGCCTAACTGGCAGCAATCTCACTGGGAACAACAAAGAATTTTAGAAATTAATTTTCATTTGCATATTGAAACAATGGTCATTCTTTATCAATCACAATGACAACATTTTTAAAAATACAGTGTTGGGGCTTGAGGTGTAACTTCATAGCGGTAGAGCCCTTCCCTTGCATGCACAAGGCACTGGGTTCAATTCTGGCACCCTTTTTTGGCCGGGGGGTGGGGGGTTGGTACTAGGGATTAAATGCAGGTACTTTGCATTGAGTTATCTTAGCTTTTTATTTTTTTATTTTTTTTATTTTTTATTTTTTGGAATTAGGATCTCACTGTGTAGCCCAGGCTGTCCTCGAACTCCTGGCATTCCTTCTGCCTCAGCCTCCTGAGTGCTGGAATTATAGGCATGCACTACTGAGCCCAACTTCTTTTATTTTGAGACAGAGTCATGCTAAATTGCTCAGGCTTGCTGAAACTTGTGATCCTCTTGCCTCAGCCTTCTAGAGTGATAGGATTACAAGTCGGCCTTACCAAGCCTGGCTACCCTAGTACCATGAAAATGGGCTTTCTTCCACACTGCTGGAAAGAGCACAAATCTGTCCACATTTCCTGCAGACATTTGGCAACATGGCTCAAGGATATAAAACTGGTAATGCCTCTGACCCAGCCATTTCACAGATGGTGTCTAAACTCTGAAACGAATTAGACAAGTGGGGCTTGGCAACCACTTGGAAGACTGCACAGCATTCACTTGGGGTTGGGCAGGCAACTCACCTTAAAGCCACCTCCAATTTCTCCAAGGACATTTACAACAGGCACCCTGGTGTCTTCAAAATGGACTTCACAAACTGAAACAGAGAAAAGTTAGGACTATCTAATCATGCAAACCACTCTGCACTTGGAACAGGCACATCATTCATTCATTCACTCATTCACCCAACATCAGGGTGGACAGTAGAGAGGGGCACAAAGGTCTTTGGGGAGCTCATATTTGGGTCAAGGAGGCTTACTAAACTGCACAATGTCAACAGTGCAAGTACACAGAGGATAATGATGCAGCTGGAGGTAGAGGGCTGGGTAAGAGCTGCACAAGGGAACTAAGGGTCAACCCACGAAGGGAACATCTAGAAGTTTAAAGGACAAAAAGGGCGGAGCACTCAAGTTCATGCACAAGCACTTCTGAAGGCCACAGATGGACAGGATTCTTGGTCTCAGCTCCTAATTCTAATAAAACCTCGCCCCATGCTGTCTGCAGGGACAGTGACCATGATTCCCCCACCAGCACCCCATCGGGAGGGCAGCCCTGCCTCTCCTCAGCCCCGATCCAGGTTGGGTCAAGGAAGCAGATGACACATGGGAGCACAGGCCTTGGGGTATACATGCCCCAGTGATAATGCAAACCCACGGCAACCTGAGCCAATCCCCAGCCTGCCCAGCACTGAAGGCCTGTGAGAAAGTGCCTTTGCGCAGTTGGCTCTATTATCTGCCAAGCAGATAGTAACCCTATAGTTAGCAGTGCACCAAAGGCAAAGCCAATCGTGAGACACATTGGGGATGGCAGGGGGGTGTGCAGCAGCATCCATGGTATTCCTGAAACAAAGGGTGTTCTCATGTTCTGTTGCATAAACATGGCACCTGCTGGACATCTGCACCAGAGAAAAGAGGTTCAGGACAGGGAAGGTTGGGGCTCAACGGGAGCCAGACCAGGCATAGCAGGCTGGGGCTGCTAATCATTCAACAAGTACTGCAGCCACGCCAGAAAAGAATAAAGTCACTGTAGTCTCTGGCAGTAGAACCAGGGCCAAAGGCAGGGTGTAAGTGATGCCCTGCCTTACTTACCCTCTGGTCTCACCTTGTGCCCTCTGACCTTCTTGCTCGGGACCCTGCACGGATCCAGGCACCACCTGCCAGACGTCCAAGAGGACATCCCTGGACCCTGCACCATCTCCTGACAGCGTGCCAGGCCCCTCCTAAGCAGCGGGCCTCAGTGCCTCTCCTCCCTTAGCTACCACACTGAGGAGACCTCAAGGGGCAGCACTGGTCACAGTGGTCAGACTCAGAGCAGTGGCTGGTCCTGAGGTGCTGTCATAGGCACATCATGCACTGCACACGGCTCTCCTCTTCCTACAGCCGAGTAAATACAGTACAGAGGACCACACAAGCTTGTTCACAGCCACAGAAGGCAGAGCTCAGGACCTCTGTCCCTTCCGCCTCCAACCCAAGTGAAAGTGTGCTAAATCCCCACCCTGAAGGCAAAGTCCCTAAATATACAAGGCATGCAGAAGTGGGACTAAAGGTGCCCAGGGCATATGAAGTGCCCACCAAGATGGACACCGAGACTGGAAGTGAGAGACCCAAGGGGCACAGTGTTGAGAAGACCCCAGGGCAGTACTAAGACTGAGGATAATGAACAGGACACCTGCATGTGGAGCATCCTGTGAACCCAATGCTCCCAGCCTCAGTAGGAGGGGGAGGGGGACACAATGAACACAGAGATTCTAGGCAGCAAAGATGGGGGCCTTTCACAGGACAGTGATCCAGGACACCTGCTGTCCTGCCACTGTGAGGTCCAGTGCCAGGCCCTACCCCGAGGCAGACAGCTCTACTGGCCTCGGTCCCCTATGAGTCACCAAAGTTCAACACCCTGGGTGATGCACAGCCCATGGCTGCTCAATGCATGAGTTAATTTCCAGGAGTTCCCGGGCATAGCCAGGGATGTCCAGGTGGCACCGGTGACTGGGTTTGGCTACAATGCTGAATTGAAACCAGAAGATTTTAACCTCGTTTTACCTTGATATTGTGACAGAGTAAAAGATCACTCCCTCTCTCTGTTCCACATGCAAGTGAGTATATGCACACACACAAACATACACAACTTACTGTTGGAGCCGCGAAGGCCTAACTTATCTCCTGGTTTCCCATTAGTGACTCCACCAAAGTCTCTTTCTACTATGAACGCTGTGATTCTGTCCTTTTCAGAGCCATCGGAATCAACCACCTTGGTCTTTGCAAGCACGGTGAAAATCTCAGCTATTCCCCCATTGGTGATCCAGACCTGAGCAGAGAGCAGAAGGGCCCTGGAGACACTGCTCGACTCCATCAACGTCCTGCCAGCTTCAGTCCGAGGCCCATCACAGCCATACCTTGGAGCCATTGAGGACATAGTGCGTCTCATCTTCACTCAGTGTGGCTCTTGTCCGGATGGAGGCAGCATCGTTCCTGCTGCAGCGAGAGAGATGCAGTAGAGGGAGAACAGTGTTAGGAATAAAGGACAGACCTGGAACCTGGAAAGAGAGGCGATTAGATACAGGTGCTGGCAAGCTTTTAAATACAGTCAGACAGAGAGAGTCACACAGCTTTCCCAGGTTGAGGATATCTGTCCTCCTTGACTCTGTGGCCACATTCCAGCGTAATTCATGACACAAGCAGGGGCAGGCTGGATCTGGCCATCTCTGCTTCAACACAGAGGCGGTAAAGACAGAGATGGTAACAAATTAGGTCTAGACTACTGCAGCAGAATCTGGGCTCCTTGAGGGAGCTGCTGTGAGGAGACAGTTGGATGTCCAGGAGGCGACCACTACAGGTCCCCACCTGAGTAGGCAGTGACAGACTTGCCATCCACAGCCAAGTCCTCCCCCAACCCTGCTCCATCCAGCTTTGTGACCCTGGGCTGATCACACCACCCCACTCCTAACCTTCATTCCTAACTTAGAAATAAGCCCCAGCTCCCAGCCCCCATGCTCTGCGAGGTGAACCAAAGCCTGATCACATCCCTGAATTCCATAGGGGTGGAAAGCCACAGACACTGGCTGACAGACACCCTTAGGTCATTTGCACATTTGTAAGTCTCCCTGGGCAGACAGCTACAACCACAGAGCTGGCAAGAAGGGTCTTTACACTGACAGGAAAATTTCAAGCAGGGGAGAGATACAAGCCAACCATTCTACTCAGGCAAGCCCTCTGTCCTGGAGACATGCTGCAGATGACATTCCGAGGGAGACAGACCTGGCGGGCTCCAAGAAGCAGAAGGCTGCGACATGCTCCCCAGAAGCCAGCCTGGGCAGGTATTTGGCCTTCTGCGCCTCTGTGCCAAACAAGACGATCCCCTAAATGAAACATACAAAGACTAACATCTCATATAAGGTGGGAGGTACAGAGCAGAGATGTGCTCATGAGACATCCCCCTTCAGGGCTAGCATTTACTTCATTTAAGAGGAGACAACGGGAGCCTGGGGCTGCCGGATTCAGGGAGCCAAAGCACTGCAGGGGCTGGGCCACACACCACCAGGCACAGCCTGTACAGCCAACAGAGCTCAGGACTTAAGTTTATCACATTCATCAACCAGCTTCCAGCCAGGTCATGAGGTCCTGGACAGGACTGTACTTTCTCTCAGCCCCCACCCTGCGATCTACAAGCTGGGGATGCCCCTCCCAGGCAGGTGATCTGAGGGGTGAGTGTGCAGATACGGGAATACTAGAACCGCACCCCACAAGAGCAGGTGCTGGTCCCTGTCAGAGTGGCCCCCACCTTGTTGCCAAATGTCTGTGGTAACAGCTGGTGTCACTTGGGGGGAGGGGAGGGCTATACACAGGGCTCTTCTGGCTCTGAAATCTACACTGAGTAAAGGTAGCCCTGATGAGAGGCCACCAAGCACTGCATACTCTGTCCCAGTGTGATGAGCCTGGGGAGCGGGAGGCTGTGTTCACAGAGCAGGGGCACAGCTCTGATGGCTGGCGTGAAGAGCTGCCTCGCACCTGGGCTTTGAAAGATGAGTCAAACATGCTGCGGACAGGAAAGGGATTCAGTGCCAAGGGAAAGCATGAGCCAAAGGCCACTGCACATGAGGGTCTAGTGGAGGGCAGGGCTGCAAAAGCAGGTGGGCTTGCTCTCCTCCGAGACCCTGAGCCATTCCCATGGTACAAATAAGGACCCCCGCCTCCCACCCTCTCCAGACAGCTGTCAACAGAAACCCCAGACAATTGACCTTGAGGCCAAGGGCCTGATGCGCCGCCAGGGTCACAGCAATGGATCCATCCAGGCTGACAATCTCCCCCAGCCGAGTGCTCATGGTGTTGGAGAGGCCCAGGCCACCTAGGAGAGACAGGGCAGCACCAGGTACATCAGCCCAACTCCTCCCAGAAAGCAAATGCCCTGCTTTCATACTAATAATGCAGTACCAGATCACCATTTTTAAAAAACCACAAAAGCAAAGTAAACAAAAATTGCCCATTATCCTATCACTCACAAAAAGCATTATGTACATCCTCTCAGACTTTGTATGAACATATACAAACATACAGACACCTCTACACACAACAAACCACTTCATAAAGTAAGGGTGCCCTCTGCCAGATGCAGACTTCTCTTGCACTCCACTACCTAGTGCCTAGCAGACTTGGGGCAACCAAATATACCTAGATAGTACCAAATGATCCCTGAGGAACAAACGTGCTGTGGTTTGCACGTCTGTAATCCCTACACTTGAGGCTGAGGAAGGACTGTGTTTGAGGGCAGGCTGGGCTACACAGCAAGTTTGATATAGGCCTGAAGTACACAACAAGACTGTCTCAAAAACAAAAAACCCACAAACCAAACAAAGACTCTCCTTCAGTAAGGATCACCTCTCTAAAAGGCCCTGCCGGCAGAGGGCAACATCCCCACGCACAAAGACTGCAGCAGCATCCATGCAGGTAAGGGTCCAGCTGCTCCTGTCATACCCTGAGTTTTCTCTGCAAAAACTTAGATGCTTTCCCCTCATGCACGTGGGGAGGATCCTGGGGGAAACAAGCCCACAGGGACACAGACAAGGAAGAACCAAGAGCATGAAGGAGACGTGGCCCCAGGGACAGGTGTACCCAGGCATCAGGACTCCAGCACCATGGCTTCCACCAGGCTTCAGGATTCTCCGGCCTGAAAAGCCTCCCCAAAATGTGCAGGCCTAACTCTGAGGCGACTCCTGTTGCCTTGTTGCTACTTTTAAGCTGCTGACAGCAGAGCAGAGCCTTCCCAACTGCACACCTCCCTTCTCCTCTCACCCTCAGCATTCAGCATAGCCACCAGTGACAGCGACAGTGCCCCTGCAGGTCAGGAGTCCCCACTCTGGCGCCAGCTGTTTCATGTGGACACACAGGGTGTCCACGGCCACAGACATGAACACTGCGCTGCCCCACAGGGCCAGCAGCCTGATGCGGCAGGTAAGGTCCTCTGCAGAGACAGGACAAACTCTCACACACACTTGGGAATACAGGAGGATGTAACAGGACAGCAAGGAAGACATGGTAAGGAACACAAAGACACTCCACCTGATCCATGCACCACAGTAGGAAGCAAGCACCTGCTCATTGGTCTTTAGTTTTTTCCCTGACCGAGTTCTGGGTTGTGTGTCAGAAGGGACTTACTCTACAGACTTGCCCGAGCTCTAGCTCTAGCCCCAGGCCCTCAAACACACAGAAAGGAAGTCCTACTTTAGCCAGACCAGGTAGGGTGACAGAAGTGCAAGGAAAGCTCAGCTTGCTGACCAAGACCCACATCAGGGTGCAGCTGGGAATCACCCCAAACAGTCTGTCTTCTGAGGAGGACCAACAGCAGCCAGAAATGTTCACACCTCCAGACCCTCAGCTGGCCATGGCAGAGGCAGCCCCCAAGAGGGCTGGCAGGGTGGTAAAGGCTACAGAGCCACACTTCTCTGCAGGCTGCAGGCGTTGTGCATCTGGAAGTTGCCCTTCCTGAGCAGCAGCCTCTTAGGGATAAGAGCAGGGCCTTCTGGAGAGGAGACCAGTGAGGCCCATTTCCATGGCTTACCATATTTTTCTGGGACCTGCATCCCAAAAAGCCCCAGGCTCTTCAGCTTCGCCAAAGTGTCATCTGGGATTTTCCCCTCCCGGTCAATTTTTCCAGAGTCCACTGACAAGAAAAAAGTATCTTAAGCAGGCAAAACAGAAGCCATGCTAAAACAAATACTACAGAAATACGATCATTTTTGTATAGCATTCTGGTGCCAGGCATTTCTCAAAACTGGAAATTATCTGTATGTGTTTGACTTCATGTAATTAGCCCAGCAAGAACTGTATTTTTTTCAGTCTCAGTGAGGTTCTATTTGCTCATTTAGGTGCTTTCAATGTGTAAAATGCAAACAAACAACACATTGATGAGATGTAGATTACTACAGCCATACTCACTTGATTTGGGGGGGAGGGTACCAGGGATAGAACTCAGGTCCTTGCACTTGAGAGGCAGGTGGTAGAACCACTGAGCCAAATCCCCAGCTACTCACTGATTTCTCAAAATATTACCAATATGTTCTACAAAATGAGAGACGAAATACACAACTCCCAGGAGAATGCCAAGCTACGCAGGCAGCTACAGTGTGCACAAAGACCAAATGCCAATTACTAGGTGGACAAACATTAGGTATAGCCATACAAGAATAATACTGCTCAGCACTAAAAAGAAAGGGAAAACTGATGTAGGCCATGTGAAAGAAACCCAAAATTGTTCCCCAAAAAGCCAAACAAGAACACATAATGTATGAATCTATTTAAGTAAATTCCAGAAAACAACAGAATCTAAGAAAAAGCAAATCAGTGGTTACCTGAGGACAAAGAGGGAGGAAGAAACTTTTAGGGGTAATGTATATGTTTATCACCTTGGGTGTATTAATGGTTCCTGAGGGTACAACTTAAACATGTACAATTTATTGTCAATCACTTATAAATCAATAAAGCTTAGGGGACCTGACAATCAAATAGTACAGGAACAAGGGGCTAAGGAAATAAAGACATGTTAAAAATACAAAGATATGGCCAGGGATTTAGCTCAGTGGTTCGGCTGCTGACTCACAAGCACAAGGTGCCAAGTTTGATCCCTGGTTAAAACACACACACACACACACACACACACACACACACGCACACACACACAAAGATATGTTAGTGCATGCCTATAATGCTAGCACTCCAGAAGGAAAACAAGAGATCACAAGTTCAAGCTCCGCCCAGGCAAACTTAGCAACTTGGAGAGATTCTATCTCAAAATAAAATAATTAAAAAGGGCTGGGGATGTAGCTTAGTGCAAAAACTCTGGGTTCAGTCCCCAGTAGCAAAAAACAAGCAAACAGAAAAAAATACATACACGTACATGTGCATATACATTTACTTATATATATTTTAACAAAACAGGTTTACATCATTTTGTTTAAAGTAATACACAACATTTTATTTCTCAGTTTTAATTCTTAACAGGAAAAAAACTAGCAGATAACACCCACCAACAAATGATACATGGAAACCTCAGTGTTGAGGAAGGGCTGCTGCTAATCTTACCTGAGGGCCTTCCTGCAAGGGACCTCAGCCCCTATTAAGGTATGGCCCACTGCCCTGAGGCTCGTGGCTGGTTCATAAAATGCTCAGGACATGTGGTGGCTCACGCCTGCAATCTCAGCACTTGGCAGGCTGAGGCAGGAGGATTGCCTGGGCTACATAGTGAGTTTACAGCCAGCCTGAACTATATAGCAAGACCCTGTCTCAAACACACATACACACACATCACACTCACCAACACTGAGCCATGGGCTCGGACTGTGCACACCTTGGCTTCCACCATATATTACTGTGGTTACTCACTTTTGTTGTATTTTATATAAGTGCTAGTCTGCAGCAGTTTGGAAATGTCTCAAGTGGTCCTTCACCACAGATGATTGAACTAGATAACTTTTCATTAAGGGCAACTGTGAGGATCCCTGAGGCAAGATAGTATGAATGTCAACTATTTTGGCCTCATTAGTAACACTAAAGAAGGCTTCCTCTGTGCCCTGCTTCTTATACAAATGCCAACACAACCACTCTTACCATGGAAATGGGCAATGATACAGGAAACTATACGTACCCTCTTCAGCGAAGAATCTTTCCACAGGTCCCACAAACTGATTGATTTCATTAAGCTCATCTTGGCTCACCTCTGGAAATGGGAAAACTCCCTTCTAAAAATAATAAACATTTGCTAAAAACTAAATTTTAAACAACTTACAATATGGTAATATTAGTCCAAAGGAAGGAAAAAGATGTGCTGGATTCCATACCTGGCCAGAAGGGCACAACAAAAAGCAGAAAGATGCACAAAACAAACTTTACAAGGGGCTTCAGATACAAAAATTGGTTGTAAGATGCCCCTTCCTATGTCCATCTTCCTCTCAGCACAGACGGGTCGATCCCAATTTTCATCAGCTTTCTTATCAGTAGCAAGTGATGAGGACTTTCCCACAGACAAGGAGCCTGGGACTCACATTTAGGTGCCCTGCATTTAGTCTTGTGTCCTGCCTTACTAACTGTGGGGCCATCGACAAAGCCCATCACCTCTCTGAGTCTCTATTTTCTCACTTATAATATATACACTTGACTCAAGGTCATCATGAGAATCATGGAAGAGGGTGGTCCAGAGTAGTCACTGTGAAGGTACCTAAGTAGTTGGATTCTGAATAGAACCTGAACATAGAAAATAAAGGAGTCACTGTAGAATTAGATGTGAACTATGAGAATAAAAGGAATCAAAGGTCCCTCCAGAAGACTAAGCTGAATCAGTGGAAATCCAGTCACCATTATCTATTACAAAGGCTGGGGGACAAGCAGGACTGGGTAGGGATCAGGAAAACTTTCCAGATATGATATTTAGAGATGCCTATCAGACATCTAAGCAGAGCTCCTGACGAGAAAGGGAGAAATAAAAAGAATCTAGAGTTGAGGGAAGAAATCTCCACTGGAGAAAAAAATCTGAGTCATCAGGATATAGATGTTATTTAAAGCCAGGACACTGAACTAGGTCATCAAGGGGACAGTGTCAATGAAAAGCGAAGTCTACAGACTAGCCTTGGAAAACTTCCATTCCAATGGGGCTAGTGAGAAACACTGGTGAACTTCGATAGGTCAAGGAGCCCAGAAGGAACCAAGAAAGGAGACTGAGGATAGTGATTTTTCAGGAGTTAGGTGACTAAAGTGTATCCAAGAAGGGAGACTGTTGGTCTGCATCAGATGCCACTGATGGGTCAAGTAGGAGGAGGACCCTTACATTGGACCACATGGAGGTCACTACTGACTCATTACTGGCAGGGACAAAGCCTGAATGGCACAGGTTTAAGATTCAACAGAAGGAACAACTGATATAAATGAGAAAGGAAGAGAATTACCCTTGAGTAGGTGAGAAGGCTGAAGTCTAATGATCAGGTAAGCCTTCAGCAGGAGTAGACAGTTCATCTATTGTAATAGAAGAATGGAGACGACACAGGCACACAGCAAAGGACAAGTAACTGAGGAGGGGTGGGGAGTGAAAGTGGCAGTTCTCATCTGACTGTACGGATGTCCTCAGAGAATGAAACAAGGCCAACAGTGGCCAGTGAGGGACAGGAAGGTGAGGCCAGGGGCTCAGAGACTGGAAGGGGTACAAGAGATTTGAATTCTTTCTTCAACATACTGCTTGGAGGCCTGAGGCCTCTGAACAAGGCACCTACAAGCTGAGGTTTCCTGCACCTCAAAGTCTTACTTCTACATTTTCTAACATGACAAATCACTCTCAGTCTTAGTCTCAGCTTTGGCATCAGTAATTCTGCTTAAGGGTCTGACCTGACAACGAGAGAACTGTTTTAAAGTAAAGGCAGGAAGTGACTGCTTCCACCATCAGGATCAGACCCTATTCTGGCCAGGCTCGAAGGATGGTACCTCTAAGGGGTGAGCCAAGCCCCGTGCTTACTCCTATTTTACAATAAATCACTGAGGCAGAGAAGTGAAAGAACTAAAACAAGGTTACATAACTAGTAAATGTTGAAGCCAGCACAGTCTGGCTGCACAATGCAGAACTTCCACGCACTGTGTATCTCACCCTGGTAACATTACTAGCTCCATTTTAAGGCTGGAAGAAACGAAGTTCAAAGACACAAAGCTAAGGTAAAATCCAAGTCCCCGGACTTTTAAAAGGTGAGTTCCAGGCCAGGCGTGGTGGCAGGCCTGTAATCCCAGCACTTGGAAGGCTGAGGCAGGAGGATCACTATGAGTTCGAGAACAGCCTGGACTACATAGTGTGTTCCAGGTCAATCTCAACTACATAGTGAAACCCTGTCTCAAAAAACCGGGAAA